TATAGATCCATGGTAGGTTGCTTAATCAGAGATGTAGTGGGGGAGGAGGGGAAAATTCTACCATGAGATAGTGTCTTCTCTTTTATTCTCAGGAATTAGCTTTGCTCTGGGACTGAGGTACAATGGAAAATGGAATCCACAAGGCAAGCTCTACAAGAAAATGGTAGAAATTGCATACAGAGGAAAGCCCAGAATGGATACCTTGGAAGTTATGATCTCTTAAAGAACAGAATGAATAGAGAGAGACTAGAAAATTATAGTGGTCATGGACCAGAGAAGGAGGAGGTTCTAGAGTAAACAGGAGAGAATAAATAATGAAAAGAGTGAGAAAACCCTATCTGAAAAGGGGTACAAAAAATAAAATTAAAATATTAATGAACAGGATTAGCTTAATGAAAGAAGAGAAAAAGGTAATGTACTTGATTGGAAAAAAAAATGAGGGAGTCAGGAATCAAATAACCAGATAAAAAGGAATTAATAAACAAAATCTCAGGGGGAAAGGAGTTAAAGCAGAAGGAGGTTGGGAATGAGAAGAAGAGAGTCATTGGGAATAATAACTGAAGGAATATAGCACTCTGTTTACAACACATGAGGGAAAAATTATAACTTTAAAAATATTAGAGACAAATGGAGGAAAATATAAACATTACTATTATGTCTATAAGTGTGAACAGGTTAAACAATCCAATAAAATGAAAAAGAGTGACAAATTGAATAAGAATATACTCTGTTGCTTAGAAGAAATGTATTTAAATAACAAAGCCACCCAAAATAAAACTGAAGGAGATGGACACAACTTACTATACATCAAGTGAATCTAAAAAAAAAACCAAAAAACCCAGTTGCAATCATGCTGTTTGATAAAGCAAAAATGAACAACCAAAAAAATAAAAAGGAATAAATAAGGAAACTATATTGTGGTGAAAGGAACCATAGATGACAGACCAACACTAGTAATAAACTTACATATTCCAAATACCTTAGCATCCAAATTCATAAAGTAAACATTAACTGAACTAGAAGAAGATACAGACAATAGCACAATATTGACAGGAAACCTCAATATCCCTCTCTCAGTTTTGAGTTTAACAGAAATAGAAACAAAAGGGAAAATATGGAACTGAACAAATTGCTGGAGAGATTGGAGTTAAAAGACTTATGGCATCTTCTAAATAGGATGGCAAAAGAATATGGGTATCTCTCAGTACCACAAGGAAGTTTTATAAAAATTGACAATGACAATGACAGTTGACAAGGGGCTCAGAGGTGTTGCAAGCAAAAGTAAAAAGGCAGAAATAGTTAATACCTCTTTCATAGACCATAAAAAAATAAAAATAGTTATTGGTTCAGGGACCACAAACAAGAGACCAAGCCAAATAGAAATTTAACAATGAAATCCTAAATAATGAGTAGGTCAAAGAACAAATAATAGAAACAATAATTATGTGAAAGAAAATTATAATGAAGAAATAACAAAAGAAAATTTCTGAGATGTAGCTAAAGCAATCTCCAGGGGAAAAAAAATAAATCTCTCTAAAAATACATTAACAAAACAGAAAAAGGAATAATGAGCTGAATATGCATTTAAAAATCAGAAAGCTAACAGATAAACCTAAAATAAGCAAAAAAGAGGAGAAAGTAAAAATTAGAGGAGACAAGGATAAGGGGAAAGCTAGGTGGTGTAGTGGATAAAGCACCGGCCTGGGAGTCAGGAGGATCTGAGTTCAAATCTAGCCTCAGACACATAACATTCACTAGCTGTGTGACTCTGGGCAGGTCATTTAACCCCAACTGCCTCATCAAAAAAAAAAAAAGATAAATTAGAAAACAAGAAAAACATAGAAATTATAAATAAAACTAAAAGCTGGTTCTTTCCAAAGACTAATAAAATTGATAAGCCTCTAGTTAAAATGATTAAAAAGAAGAGGGCAAAAAATCAAATCAATAAAATAGCAAATGAGCTAGGTGAAATCAGAACAAAACCAGAAGAAATAATAAGAATCATCAGAACATATTGTGCACCATTATATACTAACAAAATTTAAAACACAAAAGAAATAGAATGCCTTCAAGAATATAAAATACCCAGACTACCAAAAGGAAAGTCAAAAGTAGGTTCCTTTTTGTCTTTTTCTTTCTTCTTTCTTTTCGAGAGCCTGCAATCACTAAATGAATATAAAATCAATCCTATTTTAAAATCCTTACATTAGGCATTTGGCCAGTGCATGGCTATATTCTGACATGCAATTGTTCAAAGAATCTGTCACATTATGCAGGATAACAAAATTTCAAGTTGGTCACCCACCCTAGGGAAGAATTTATGAGTGTGCTTCATTTTAACCACAGATCTACATAGCTTGTACAAAAACGTGTACTTTAAAAATTTGAAAGTGGAGAGTAATTATTTACATTATAAAAGTATTTCCCAACATGTTCTTTTAAATAGATTTCAGTAGTGCATGTGAAATATGATTCAACTTATATATGACTTAATATAATATGTGACATTACAACTGTTCAAAAATAAATTATATAAAATTATGTACTCATGTATTCATATATGATATCACCTAATGGCTCACATTTATTAAGGATTTTAGACAGTTGGTGAAAGTTTTATTATACTTATATGAGAAAACCAGGTTTCACTAGTAAGTCTCCAAGACCAATCTCCTTTCCAATCGCCTATGAAATAAAGAGTAATGTTTGGTTAAGCTTTACTATTTACTCAGTAGCTAGATCCCTTGGTAAAACAAAACAAAACAAAAACATTTAAGTATAGTAAATTTTCTTTATTTTGCTTGCAAGACTGTTATAAATATTTTTGTTTTATTTTAAGAAAAATGTCCACAATATTCAGCTTTATTCTTTTAAAAAAAGATGAATGGATCAACATCTTTTGACATTTCAGCTGAGGTCTTTTTCTATTGCTTGACTTGGATAAAAGTGAAGATCTTTTCCATGTGGCACACTTTCAAGTGACACAGTGTACGTAGTAAAACTAGAGAAGAAACTACAAAGCTTTTTCAATGGTAGAAGGTTATACTGAGGTTTCAGAAAATATCCTACAGATGTCTGAATTTATAGTGTTTTCACTTTAAAATGTTTAAACAAACTGTTTCCAAGAGTACTGACTTAGGGGGAAATTATCTAGTTTTAATTTTCTTAAGTATTTATTTGCTTTCTCATTTAGAAGTGTCCTGTATTTCTAAAAAAAATTCATATCTTTAAATATATGAATGCTATCCTTTGAACAGTTTCAGAAAAGGGGAAACTTGCCCTTCAATCTTATCACACAAAGGAATATGATTTTTCTGGCATGTTGAGAAAGATTATATATAAATATAAGTTAGTATTATCATCAAATTTTATCACTATGAGAATTCTTTATTTTTGGATTAGGAAGGAAGGAAACAAGCATTTTCAAGTACCTAATATGTACCAGGCAGATATTAGTGCTTTTCATGTAAGTGCTTTTCAAACATTATGTCATTTGATCCTTACAATAAACCCTAAGAAGTAGATGTTATTGTTATCCCTATTTTGCAGCTGAGGAAACTGAGGCAGACAAAAGATAACTGACTTTTCCAGGGTCACACAACTTGTAAGTATTTGAGTTTAGATTTGAACTCAGTTCTTCTTGACTCCAGGCCTAGAGCTCTCTCCACTGCACCACCTACTGGCCTAGAACAGATTAACATAGATACTAATCAATTAAGTCTCCTGTTTTTTTATTCTTGAGAAGAATTGTTACATAGTAGTACTATTTTAGATAAAATGATGTATTTTCATCTTTATACCATTCCTAAAACACGTGAACTGAAGTAAAAATACTTTAAAGCCATCATTAAAAAAACCCTTCATTTGAAGTTGCCATTCCCTTAATCATCATCTCTCTTTACTACCATTGACAGACTACTAGAAAATATCACTTCTAGTCACTGTCTCCATTTCTTGCATCTCACTTGCTTCACAACCCCTTGAAGTCTCGTTTCTGATTCCATAAGTCCCCTGGAACTGCTCTCTACAAGGTTGTGAATGACCTTGGTTGCTAAATCTTGCAATATTTTCTCAGCTCTTTCTCATCCCTGACCTCTGCAACTTTTAACCATCCTTTCCTCCTAGAACCATCCTTTAACCATTCTTTAACGTCCTTTCTCTTCTCCCTCAATTCTCATGTAACAATACTCCTTTCTGGTCCTCTTTCTACCAGTTTACCCACTCCTTCTCTGTCTCTTTGTTGGATCATCATCCATGTTCTGGACCCTAAATACATGTCCCCCAAATCTCTATTCTAGGCCCTCCCCTACTCTCTTCTCCCTCTAGGTGCTCTCCAGATTTAATTTATCATTACTATGTGGATAACTCCCAAAAGTACAAATTTTCTCTCTCTGGTATTTTCCAATATATCAACAAATATTTACTAAGTTAAAGGAAGTGTGGCCTAGCAAAAAGAGTGCTAACCTTGGAGTCAGAACTCAGATCAGGTCCTGCCTCTGATCTATACAGGTTGTTTGGCCATTGGGCAAGTCTCCTAACCTCCCAGTACCCCAGGCAACTCTGTAACATCATACAATTGCAGAACATTGCTCATCTGCATTGGTAGAATGAGGTTCCACAATGAAAATTACCCAAATCAATCACAGGCCCAAATTTTAAAAGGAAACAAGGAAGGGAGGGAGGCAGCCGTACAAAATGAAACTGTAAGTTATTAGTGCTCCAGCAAAGATTTCTAATGACTATCACTATCTTACTAAAATCTTGAAGACATACCTAGTAAATTGATGAATATATCATTGGAAAAATCAAATTAACATTTCAATATTTTTAAATCACCATGAAATACTTACAGTTGATATTTAGTCCTGTTGTCCAAATTATTTCATCAATCATATTTATACAATCTGAGGGGTATTTTGGGGGGGGAGGGGAGTGTTAATGGTTAGGCCTTAAATTTTAGGTGCTTTCTATATTTATGACTTTTCCAATTTCAATCTTACCTTGGCCAATTGTGCAATTTCACCAAGACTAGACTTCCTATAGGAAGTTGTGAATAGACATATTTAAATCCACTTTTAAGAACATGAGACTCTTCAGGAAAGCATTCTTCAGCAGCAGAACATGTGTTATGGTTTGGGTCAGTGCTCATGAAACAAAACCATGGCTCACTGCGATCGACTTGGGCGGCATCTTCACTAGATAACAACCTCCATTTTAAACAATTCTCATTCTCACATTGAAACCATATTTTGTCTACATACAAGTTGTCTTCATTTATTTCAGTTTTCTTTAATTTCTTGCAATCAAACTTTTTTTTTCTTCCCGGGAATGGCATTTATCCTAGGATTTAGAAAATAAAAAAATGGGGGTATTATAAGTACAAGAGAATGTAGTTAACAGCAATAATCACATTATCGAGGAATTTTATTTTTTTATTTCATAATTATCATCCCCACCCCCACCCCCATTTCTCCAGCCTGCAAAGAACCAACTGTAAACAAGTTGTGTCCACTAATAGGAAGCAAGGGTACAAAATAAAAGCATGAGTTACACACTAAACCTTTAAATCTAAAAATAAGCTAAGCATGATGAAGCAAGAAAAGGATCTGAAATTACCAACATTTCTTAACATTTAACCTAGTAAAGCACTTCATACATTTGTAAAATCAAATGCAGGTAAAACTTTCTTGATGTGATACCTTGAAATTAGCTTGACTAGAAGCTTACTGAAATTAGCAATAACTGAGTAGGGAAAAATACATAAAATAATAACATATGGGGAGAAGGGAAGGGGGAATGGAATAAGCATTTAAATAAGCACCTACTATGTACCAGACAGTGTGCTAAGCATTTCACAAATACAATCTCATTTTATCCTCACAACAACTCTGTGAGTTAGGTGCTATTGTCCCCATTTTATAGCTCAGGATACTGAGACAAACAGAGCCTTGCCCAGGATCACACAGTCAGCAAGTATCTGATGCTACATTTGAACTCATGTCTTGCTTAATCAAGGCCCAGCACCCATCTGTTCACTGTGCCACCTAGCTGCTTATGGAACAACTTTGAATCAATACTAATACATAAGTTTTGGATATATAACTAAGCTTTCTCAAACTGATTTTAGTCCTGTGCTAGTATTACTCAAGTATTTCATAGTTATACATTTTAATAAAATAATAATTAAAAGCAAAATCAATGCAAATAAAACACATAATAGTAAACAATTCCTCTTGCATTACAGAAATAGAATTCCTTCTAAGTCTTTATAATTGCTAGTAAATTATTCTACATGAACTATACCAAGGAAATTACTATCCAAATGTAGTTGATTCCATCTTACAGCATCTATTAATTTATAGCAATCATACTGTTGAAGTTTAGGGGTGGTGGGACCCCAAAATCACAACACACAGTTCCTGCCTAAATGAATTCAACCCAAGCCTTCAGACAAGGTTTATTAGAACATCCACCATACTGACCAGACTCTTAAGGAATCTAAGCATTTGTATCGCTAATGCAAGTGGGCCAGATATTAAAAATCTGAGCCCCTTAATGGAGACAAGATGAATCTCCTATACAGAAAGGCTATGAGAGGGATCCAGGAGTGGCCAAGTAGTCTGTGGTGACCGACTGGAGGAGGGGTCTAAGGAAGATCTGGATGGGAGTGGCCAGTAAGCTGGGGTGAACAGAATGCCAGGGACCTGGGCCAAGTGGCCAGGGAAGAATAGAGGCTAGATAGGACTAAGGGTGGGGAGTGGCCAGGGGAAATCGGGAGGCAACAGAGCAGAAATTGGGAGATTGGGCATAACCGTAATGAAAGGCCAGTTGAGTGGATTACAGCCTCAGGAAAATGCCGGAGATTTGGGAAAAGTCCAGGGATTTCCTTTTTTGGGGTCCAGATCCCAAAGACATGGTCTTTTCCTTTCAGGGGTTCAGATCCCATGCCCATCACTACTCTTAGAAAAACTTATTTATTCATACTCTCTAAAATAAAGCATTTAACACTAGGAGCATACTTAAGAAGAGATGTTATTCATCTTATAGAAAAAGAGTAGTTCTAAATAAAAGTAAAAAAAAAAGGAATAAAAGTAAAAAAAAAAGGAAGTTAAGCAAAACAAATTCAAATTTGCTTTGATAAAGTGATAACTCAAAACATCAACATTTCCTTTTACATGCATTTTCTGATAGTGGCACATAATTTCCAACCCTTATAATGAAGGAAGAGTTTTCAGTGTCACACTCATCCTAACACTTAAAATTCAAGTAAGCGATTTTATAAATGGAAACTGAAGAATTAGGAAATAATAGAGAGCACACAGAACCCTAACAAAAATAATTACACCCAATTTACTCAGCTTTCTAATCCTCTTTCTCTCTTAAATTAAAGAGGAAGTCTTTATTTAGTTCTACTCTTCAATTCTATTCTGCCAAGCAGGATAATATTATAAATTAAAATCAGTGGTACTCAGAACACAATGTAGCTCCGGGGAAGCTAGCCCTACGTCAATAGAGACAAGCCCAGGCATGAGCAATGAATAACCAAAGCATTTCTGTCCAATAATTCCATCTCTAAGATAGGTAGAATCAAACAGAAGGGGAGAAAAGTCATTACATTTGCTAAAGAAGTTCTATTTTTCCATGGTTGGGTAATCATTTAAAAAGCAAAGAAAAATTGGGCAAAACATAATTCAAAGGAAACTACTAATAAGGCAAATAGGGTGTAACCTTACTTTAAGCCCCGTTCCTCATATCCATCTCAGTTTGGAAAACATCTTATAAGAAAAGCAGACACACTATTTAACACTGCTATTCAATAACCACACATTTATTATATTTAATTTTTCTAATATCTGCTTAAATTGTTAATTTCTTTCTTTTTTTCTGTTATATTTCCATGAGTTTGAAAGATATTGAAAATCCCTATAATTATTGTATTATCACATATCTATATATGCATATATATATGTGAAGAGATATAAGAAAGGGTAGAAGGAGGGAAGGAGAAAGGGAGAAGAAAGAGAGAGAAGAGAGAAAAGAGAATAGAGTGGTAATGCTGCTTCATTATTTATGAGGCCTTTAAATATAATATTGTTTCCCTATTTGGCTACCTTAACCTTTCTCTCTTTCTACTGTTGTCTTCTCTGAGATCAAGATTGTTACTCCAGATTTTTTAGATTCTGCCGAAAGATAATGGATTCGCAATAAACCCTTATTTTAACTTTGTACGCATTTTTTTCTTTTTGGGGGGGGGGAATTGGGGTTAAGTGACTTGCCTAGAGTCACACAGCTAGTAAGTGTCAAGTGTTTGGTCTGAGGCAGGATTTGAACTCAGGTCCTCCTGACCTCAAGGCCAGTGCTATATCCACTGCACCACCTACCTGCTCTTTGTATGCATTTTTATGAAGTATGATTCTTATAAACAAGTTGTTAAGTTTTGCTTTCTAACGCATGCTGCCACTTTCCTTTTTATGGTAGTTTAATCTATATACATTATAGCTTTGATTGAATTTTCTCTCCATTATACGCTGCTATGAATAGTTCTTCTCTTCCCCACCCTTTACTTCAAACTTTTAAGAAAAAAAAAAAGGATGAAATCAAGCACCAGATATTTTTAGCTTATGTTGTTGAAACAATCCAGTGCTGAAGGAAGGGCACATTAGGACATACCCATCACTATACCACCCCTGCCCTGCTACTGGAGGAGAGATATGGGGCCAAGATTCCAAGATTCCTCCTAAAACTTGGAGGGCTGCTGCCAGCTGGTCAGAGGATCCTGTACAAATCTATCTCCCCATCCCTACAAGCCAGAGCCCTGGAGATGGAGTTACAGGAATGTGGGGCAGGTGCCAGCTAGGGCATGTGGCTGGCAACCCCACTGAGAGCATTTTGAAGGCAATCAGGCCTACCTGGGTTATGGGGCAGGGCAGGAGGGTGGAAAGAGAAAGCCCGGGGAGGAAGGAAAAGAAGAAGGGGAGCATACTAAGAATCCCCCCCATCACTCAGTTGATCACCCTTGAGCATACACCACAGGTGGGCCAGCTGGCCTCATCCACATCCTGGTAAGTGAAATCTAATCCCAGTCCTGAACGGGGAACCAACAGGTGATTAGAGGAGATCTAATGCTCTGCATGGGCTGCCCCTACCTTGAGAGAGCTGGACACACAAGCAGCCACCATCTGAGGGAGCTGTGACCCCTGGCTCAAGACATCAGTGGATTTCCTTTCTTTTCTCTCCAGTCTTCTGGGGTCATGGCATTTTCAGAGATCTGCAAGGGTTCACTCTGCCCTACTATAGCCTGAAGGCTGTTACTACAGTAACTGAGAAGAAACTCTCCCCCTTCCTCTGAGAAACCACTAGCATTGATATAAACCTGGTGAAGGCCATCCCGCGAGAAGACCAAGTTGTCCTTGACCCAAGCATAGGTCACATAGTCCTTCACATGGAGTATCACAACCTTATGAAGGCCGATCCAGTACCAGGAACTGCTGATGAAGTCAGGGCTCCGGGTGTAGCTGACCACCAAATCATAAGTTGTGATCCACTGACCCTCAGGAATCGAGGTGACCGGTGGGATCAACAGTAGGGACTTCAGCTCCAATTCAAAGGTCACTGTGACTGGCATGTGGTCACTGATTTTATATTTCATATGGCTTTCATAACTCTTCAATGTCAGAGAGAAGAAGTGATCACATTCCCCAGAGTCCACTGGGTTATTTAAGAGCTCCCACTTCAGCCTCCAAAGGATGCGGTCAGTCCATGCTGGTTTTCGTCTTTTCTCACTGTAATCGTAATTTTCTGAGTTGACATCAAATATATAAGTTGGCTGGAAGGGCAGAGGACCCTCCTGGAATTGCTGGAATAGTGAATCTGTCTTCTTCATCATGTTGAGATGATCTTTCTTCAGAGGATGCTGTACTCCTAATTGTTGATGGATTCCTGGATAAAACACAATTCGTAATCCTCAATGCAAAAGTTTAGGTCACCAAACCACAGGAGGAGGTCATGGTCCAGGATGTTGGCGATGTTTTCTTTCTCAAAGTTTTGCGTCTCTAGGACCTTGTCAAAATCACCAAGCCGCTGGTCAATGCTGGAGACATGGGCCAGCAGGTGGCAGTTGAAGAAGCAGATAGCATAGCCATACAGCCAAAAGCAGATGGCAACTTCTCCTTTGCTCCCCCAGTAGCCACTGAGGCCAGAAGGGGTGTAGTTGGTGTAGGTACCAGAAATGAAGGGAACAGAAAGCTAACTAACGATGCCAGACTTTACTTCCTTTAAACCAATGACATACATGTCTGTGTTCAAAGGTTCGCTGTCCAGCAGGAGCACGTCATTGACAC